CAGATTAGGAAACATTTTTCTAGTTTCAGCATCTTTTACATTTTTACACCATATTCAAAAATGGCATACTTTTACATACTGAACATTTACAACCATCTTTCTAGTTTTGTTTTGACTTATAGTTAGGTGTGTTGAATCTTAGTGCAACAAAAGGATGCTTTTCTTTTAATAATACTTAAATGTGTTTACAATAAATGTACTAACTAGCAGTTCTCTTTTAGTTGATTCTTAATGTATTCATATAAAGTGGAATAGCACAAAGTTCATTTCTTTTATTATTATTGTTAACAAAATGTCTGCTACTAGAGGTATTGCTTAATGTTTATGGTCATTTGTTCATGTTAAAGCAAGCTGTTTCTCCGTACCTAATTTTTGATGTCAATGTGGTTTCGCTTCATCGAAATAAAAATACACCATATCATGTTTCCTGTCGTCTTCCACTTTTCAGAGCTGTTTTCAGAAAGCTTCTTGTGAAATGGAAAGGCACTGTTGGATCTACGCTTCAGCAGACCTGCTATTTTAGAGACTCATCAGTCATGAAGAAAGCAAGACAACGACAGAACCGTTTTTTTACTTGCTAGCAAGGGACGCTGTTCAGAACCAGGCTCTTGGAGCTGAATGCTCCTCACCTGTGTCCTAGTCAACTTCAAATAAACAGCCTTCCTTGCAGCCTTTTATTCTGAGAATACATGCACCACCCATTTTTTACAATGGGTGGTGCTTGTCCTTTTGTGACCATATGGGTCACAAAAGGTTAAAACACTGTGTGTGTGTGTGTGTGTGTGTGTGTGTGTGTGTGTATGTGTATCTCTCTCCAATACTGACTGAATCAGCAGCAAAAGAAGATCGAAACTATGCTTCACATTTCAGTTCACATAAACATCGTCATGAATTCCATCTTACTTTTTCTGTTTTGCTTCCACTACGATAAAATCACACTTCATGTAAATAATTTTTGCTGTTCAATATTTTAAAAAAAGTTCAACTCATACATGGTGTACAATATGTGCCAAAATTGGATAACAGTGTGCTGCCAACATTAATGTGTTAACTCCGTCATCACGATTAACGCGATTAAAATTTTTAATGCAATCAACCCATTTGGAGCACAGAATGGACAAACTTTGGACAAATTGCCTGAAATGCATTGACAGAGACATTTCAGGGATTTTGAGTCATTCTGCGCTCCAGATAGATTAAAATTTTTGCACTGAAATTTTTAATCGCATTAATCACAATGATGTCGTTGACTGCCCTAGCTTGTTAGCTTGTTTTAATTTTGTCTTATTTTGGCTAACAGGTTATTAGATGCCGCTCCAGCCAGCCAGAGAATCCCCGCTCCTCTCCTCCCTGTGTGGCAAGCAGCAGGCCCACCTCGCAAATGGAGGGAGCCTTTAATCCCCGCAAATGGGCAATAGAAAACCAATCAGTGCCCATGCAATCCCCAAAAATGTGCTGGCATGATGTCGGGGCAGCATGGGTGTAAGCTAGTAGTGATGGGTCATTCGCGAACGAAATGGCTCTTAGAGCCGGCTCTTTGACGTGAACGACGCGAGCCGGCTCCTTATCGCGAGCCGT